TTTTTATTGACTTTCCCCCCTCCCCCCCCCCCCAGCCTGTCCAGGTCCCCCTGAATGGCAGCACGGCCTTCTGGTGTGTCAGCCACTCCTCCCAGTTCTGCACCATCAGCAAACTTGCTGACAGGGCACTCTGTTCCCCATCCAGGTAACTGGTGAATATATTTAACAGAACTGGCCCCAGTACTGTTCTGTACCTCTGAAGTATTGATCTTTTATGCTCCCTATATTTAAAGAAAGCTTCATGTAAAATTTTCCAAAGTAGACTCAAATTCTGTAACAACCCCATGGAGGGACACATTTAAGACAGTGACAGTTTAACTAAAACTGTTCTCTTATGTCTAATTGCAGATGTATTGTAATAAATTATTTGTAGAATTTTATTCCTTTACAGAAGATTTTTTTTTTAAAAACTGAAATATAAAGAAAACCATTACTAAATGTCACCACTGCACATATTTCCTTCATTGCTGTGCTTGGCTCAACTGTTCACTCTCTTTGTAGACAAAATACTTTTTGAGTAAAATAGGAGTTTTGCCTATAGGGGAGGTATGACCTTGTTTATGTTTGAAAGGAGAGACTTGAAACTGTGTGCCAGTAAATGAAAATTCACTTGGCTAAAGTTTATTTAGACCAGCTTTATTAAGTCAACGAAGTGCAAACCTAAAACAAAGGACAGACAGAAAAATCTGTTCCTATGAAGTCAATAGGAATCCATCTCCCTAAGCCCTTTTTTATTCCTGGCACCAGTGATTTTTCTTGACTGATTCATTGGAGGGCACTGGTTTAACTGATTTGTCTTGCATAGGTATCTCTCCCATTCTACGTCCTCTCCACTAGTGCAAAACAATCTTCCCTTTAAAGGTTATTTCCTAGGTAGATCTGTCATAAAGCTATTATCATTAATTTGCACTTTAAGAGTTCCTTTCACTTTTAAAGAACTATGAGATACATTCATGATTTATGGGTTAAAATGTGACAACCATCATATGCAAAGAAGATTATTTATACTTACCACAGATGCCTTTGAAAAACGGGATATTTCACTCATATCCCCACTCCACTTGCTTTGCATAACTATATTCAATATCATAGAAAAACATGGCAGTCTGTAATTCCCACTGTTCCCTAGAATCTCTAATAGAATTTTATCCTGGAATATTCAGAAATCACATACAGAAATGCAGACAGCTTACAATACTCTATTAAATTCTGGGTTTAGCAGTCATTTCCATAGAAACTCACATTTATTCTTGATACATAATTTTCCTGCAAGTGATAATTAAGAAATAATATGCAGATTACTGTGAATCTCATTAAATATATTTCAAAATAATGTTTTTCAGGAAAAATTTAGGATTTTTTTTTTTTTAACAACAATACTATTAAACATGAAGAGTGGAGGGTACCTACCTAAACTAAACAGCACCAGGAATTTGAGACATACAAATTCTCGTAGATCAAACTGCAGGGAACGAAGCTTTGCTACTAGTTCTTGTGCATGGCACATAAGATTGTTGAGGGTGGCTCCAGCTTGAGATGCTATTACAGAATAATCCACCTGAAAAAAAAGAGTTGTATTTCTGTCTGGTTGTCATGCCTGCAGAACCACTTTAGGATATTTCAAGCAATCACACAATCAGAATACTCCTGGATAAAAGAATCACTCTCAATTTAATCAAGTTATCAAGCCAACATGATTTTCTGTTTATAAGCTGAATTTAATACAATGGTATATATTGAAAATCTTATTAAACCATGTATCTTAACACTGTGTCACATCAGTATGAATGCTGGTTTGTCTATATTAGCTTTTTTTTTTTTAGAAGTTGTATATATGAGAGCTGCTTATGACACTGGTCGCTGTCCCCATATCTGTTTGTTCTAGTCCGTTGGAGTACCTTGTTCTCATTGTAATTGTGTGATCTTGTGGAGAAAGACTTGTGAAGTGAGCTTTGCATCTATACTGGGTGTATTAGTCCAGAGGGACAAAACATTATTCATGTGAAACAGTCCAGTGTCCATAACTTGGCCAGAAACATCTATTCAAGCCCAGAAATGCTGATGTATTCCCACAGGAAACAGAGGCATTGTGTGGGTGGTTTCTGTTCTCCTTAGCTACACAAAATCCTGGTATTTGTTGGAGTTGGTTCCAACAAACTTGTTCTGGCAAGCCCTGCCCTGCATGTAAAGGAGGAGCAAGCAGGTGCGTGACACAGGCCAGGTGCCCTTGCATTGTCCCCAGCAGCAACCGCAGCGCACAAAGCCACTTTCTCAGGGGTGCAGAGAAGAGCAGGACTGCTCCGGGGACCTGCTGCCCTTGTGTCTGATTTGTCCATTTGTCTGACTGGCTGCGAGCTTTCTGAGGTGACGCCTTTATATAGAGATCCCACAGAAAGTTGGAATGAATACACCCCAGTGCCATTAAGGGGACATTTCCATGCAGTGCCTGTACCAGCCTCTGCCACTTGAAGATATGCATGCTTTGTCACCAGGTGGTGACCAGTGGAGACTGGTGCAGCCTATGGGAACGCTGTGAGGCGAAGGTGAAGAGCAGGGGCTGGGGCCAGGGTGGGCTGGCTCCAAAACAGGGCTGCTGGCTGTGAGAGCAGGCAGCTGGAGCACAGTGACAGCAGCATGGGTATAGTTGGTTTAGCAGGAGCCTGCGTGATCTGAGCAACTGTTTCAGCTGAAATGCCATCAACTCAGCCTTGTTTTCATCAGTGGTACATATCCCTTACTAGTGCCGCTGTCCCATGGAAATGGCCAGCTGTGTTGCTTGCTCCTGTGCTGAACCACTTCTGGGCAACCAGCTGAGACCTGAACAGGTTATTGACACATTTTCAAAGTGCTTTTTCTTGCCTTGTTGCTCTAATGACCAACACCTTTCCCTTCCAGCAGCCTCCATAACAACAGGGAAATTGCTAACCATAATTCATGTAACCACACATAAGTGACGTCTGGCTCTAAACAAAGACTAAGCACAATGGCAAGTGCACGCTTTAGGTTAATGATTTGTTTAAAGATATCAGTGCTCTAATCCCATCTTTAAGGTCTCCCATAATAAAGTTATTAATGAAGAATGGCCAGGTGTCACCAGAGGAAACAGACCAATGCCGCAAAACTTTGTTTTTCCAGGCACTGATCTGTTAAACTCTATTTTTTTTGAAACAAACAAACAAACAAACAAACAAAACCCAACAAACTGTTAAAGAGCATGCATTTTGAAATCTGTTTTCTGATTTTTTAAACTATTGAGTTGATTTTTCTCAAGTATAAACAGCAGTAAAGGAAGAGAAAAACCCTGAAATACTTTAAATCTGACAAAATTTCAGCCAGGAAAGATAGAAAGATGACCGAAAAGAACTAAAAATAACTTCTCCTAGTGATGACCTTAATATAATCAATGAGTTAATGACTTTTAATAAGACATTTTATTTATATGTACTCTTAGTGGTCCAAGACATTGATAGAAGGCAATGTACAAGAAAAATGAAGTTAGGCTTTTTGTATGGGTGTTAAGAATAACAGTGCTCCAACTCTGCAAAGCACTTAAAGTTGTGCTTATGTTTCAATCAAGTCAATAGATTATGCTTAAATATCCTGTGAGGTAGATTTTATTGCTCTCTTTTACACCTGGGAAAACTGAAGTGAAGACATTAAATTGCTTACTCAGGGCCAAAGAAATCTGTGACAAAACTAGGATCTGGTCTTTAGAAATCCCAGCCAAACCATCTTTCATAAGCTACTTTCTAGTTAATCTGTTATATCTCTCTCTTCCTATATATATGCTTAAACATATATCTTTATATGTAAGTGTATACACTTACATAAACAATAAGAAAAAAAGTAACATACCTCAAATACTCCTTACTTGAAGAGCAGTTTGATATAGTGATATGATTCAGCTACTTCATATTGAGAAACTGGTCACATAAGTATCAACTTTCACAACTTAATTTCCCTTTTGTAATTGTTAAGGGGGGGGAAGAAAGCTCAAAATCCCTCACTGAGGTTCCACTTTGTGGGGGAAATATGCTATTCACTTCATAATAAGAAGTTAAGACGTCTAGATGTCAAGAATATTCGTGGCCTTAGTGCAGTGATTATGCCATAATGGAAAAACCCAGTAGATGCCTGGATCTCCCACCTTCCCTCTACTGGAGAGCTCTCAGGCAACCTGCTACTCTTTCAGGTGCATTTAATATTTGCAGAACCAGCAAATTTGTCTGGGAGGCAAGTCCTCATCTGCCACTCACCAAGAGCAGGCTGTATTAAATTTTTATATTTATTGACATTTCATTACCATAATTGACTGCAGTTGGTTCTCTAGTAGAAGGCACAGGGCTGCCTCCTAAGCAGGAGAATTGGTCCCTTGAGTAGGATTTGCAATTAAAAACAACGCCGAATGGATTTTTTTTTTTAATTGTGTAAATATGATGAGTTGAATTTTCAGCTTTAACTAGAGAATACTGGGTGTGCAGAAGGCTTTTTTTCAAGAGTGAGCAAAATTATGAGTCAGTGGAAAGATGACCCCCAAAGGTGTCAATCAGTTTATACAAAATCAACTATGCATGAAAAAGCCTCAGTTAATGTCTGCTCTGAAAAAGTGGTCACATTAAAGAGTATGCTGTCCTGCTTGCTTAGTCCCATCTGCAGAAATTGATACTAAAAGGTGTATTAATTCTTTAACCTTCCAATTCATGATTAAAAATGCTTTTAAAAGACAAAGATTAAACCAGCCTGGATCTTGAGCAAAATGCTTAATTGCATACTGAAGTCTTAGCAGTTACTTAATATTGTACCATTAATTTCACTTGGTAAAAACAAATCCAAAACTGAAGTAAATTATTCTTGCTTCTCAATAGTGTTGCATTTCACAGTTGATTTAGATGTTGAAGATGATATGTTGATTGGCATTTTTGAGAAGAGAATCTTGGGTGAAGCTTCCACATAGTGTAATTTGGAAGTAAAAGGAGAGGTGTAAAGTTATGGCTGCATGGACGAATGGAAGTGTGGATTCCTTGTGTACTAGTGCACAGTGCTATCTTGCATGGTGAATACAGTAATGATGAAATAATGATAGAGGCTTAATTGGATTTGTTTGGTACCAAAGCAACGCAGACAGAACAGCACTGAATGATTTACACTGCTGACTGTTCTTGCCATTCTGGTGCTTAAACTGGCATGTTAAGCAGTAGTATGGACATTGCTGTATATGTTAGACCGAAGGCTGTGCTGTAGTATACCATTTGCTAACTGAGGTGCCTAAATCTTGAAATTAGATAATCAAAACCTCAGCTTTGCTGCCACCTAACTTTGTGCTTAAAGTCCTCGGCTCCACCTTTCACCAGCTCTTTGGGTGCTAAACTGCCTCTAGGCAGGGCTGGGACTACCCAGATCATGACAGTGGTAAATTACTGTGTCTGACTCATGATACAGTTCTTCTAGGATTTATGGACTATGTGGCTTTCATCTGCCTAAGGCAGCAAAACTGCCAAAGGCAGGATTTCTTCAGCAGGCCAGGGCTGGAGCCACTGAGGTATGGGAAATTTGGGGTCAAATCTCCAGTCTAAATAGTGCACGAAATAAATAAGTCTGTAGTCTGGCAATTGGAATATCTTTCTGAGAGGGAGAAATTTCTTCAGGTAAATCCAGCACAAGGTAAGTCTTGTGGCCGTCTTCTGATCATGAGTATTGGGCAGAAAGAGGGGAGCTTTGGCTTGAGTTGGAGAGGGAGGATTTGCTTGGTGCTTGACTCTAGGAGGCAACTTTCAGATGGGAATCCCAAGTAGAAAAATATGTATCATTTCCTTGGGCAGGCAACATTTGTGTCATAGCTCTGAGGAAAGCACATGCTCTAAGTATGCTCCTAGAGCATTTCTTAAGGCTCCCTCTTTTAGTTACCACCTGGTTTGCTGCTGGCCTTCCCTGCTGCCTGCGTTGCAGAGGTAAGGACTGGGCAGGTGAGGCTGCTGGCTCTGCAAAAGGATAGGAATGTTCAGAGGCACTAGTAGCAAAGGAAAAGAAATAAAAATGTTGATGGCATTAGTAAGGGGCATAACTTAAATGGGACTGCAGAAAGACATGGCAATACTCTGTATTTTTCCTAACTCCTTTTCCTGATACAGTTCAAAGTGACTTAAAAGTGTGAATTTTTTTAATGTCAGTGAAAGCAATTAGGCTGATGCTGATTGTTTGTGAGAACATTACTTTAAAACAATATATCATAGTAAAATACTTGAAGTTCAGTAGCATTTAGATATTCAGCTTTCAAATAATTTATCAACTGATAAACAGAGAGGTAAGAGAGACGGAAGTGACTAATTCTGCAGTATTTTTCTCAAATGAAGGCTACATTTAACACAGTGAGATATTGCTCAAGGTAGAACAAAAGACAAACACGAAACTATACCCTGGGCTAAAGAAATGCCGAGGTTGAAGGCCAGAAATGCCTTCAGTTTTGCAAATGATTTATCAAAAGCTAACGAATGATTCTGGAAGCCAAATCCCTGGTTTCGCTGGGCTCAGACAGAAACTTTCTGGTGGACTCAGGTGGTA